CGGCGTGTAGACATCATTGCCACAGATCCCAGACGCTGTCAGGTGGGATACTGCACAGCGAAGGGCCCTTATCAACTCCCTTGGCTCAGCCGTGTAGCTCCTACGTCGCTCCTTTCCCCCACCACGGTATTAGGCAAACACTGCTGGGGAGATCGGCTGCGCAGTGGCTCCGCTCTGGGTCTTCATTTCTGATCAGGACCGCCCGGGAGGCAGTGGGGCTCTTGGGGCACTAGGAGGAACCAGCAGGCGCGTGTTTCCCCCGGGCACTATCAGGGCTCAGGCCAATCAGAAAAGTGACCATGAAGGGCCCGATCCTGCTCCTACTGAAATCAAAGGGTATGGGGAGGGGGGGCATTTCAAGGCACTAGAGACGGCGCCCCCCGTGCCCGGCTCAAAGGCCGCAGCCCCTGACACTGCGGGCAGGCTGCGTCCCATTGCCCAGGAGCGGTCCCCCGGCGGTGCATTGCGCGGGGGCTGGCCGGGCCGCTCCGCAGGCAGGGCGCCGAGAGCAGGTAGCCCCGCGAGGACTAGCCCGGCTCTCTGCACGTGTTCGCCCCCTGGACTCTTCATGCGGCTCAGAGCCAACGGGGTGGGGCCCCCTTGTGCCTGGCGGGGGAGGAGGGGCCCTTTGCTTAGCACTTTGGGGGGTGGGGGGATCCCTGCCAATCAAGTGGCCCAGCGTAGCCCCTAGGCAAATGGGCAGGGGCCAGCTCTCCCCTTCCCCCGCAGCGGGGGAGCCGCCAGGGGCTGCTTGCAAAAGAAACAGCTCTGCCCAGAAGCGCTGGGGCAAAGCGAGGCACTCCATGCCCCCAGCCAGGGAGGAGCGGGGTAGATGGGTGGGGGCTGCTGCTTCCCAGCGCTCCCCCCTGCACAGGTCTCCTGTACCGGCGAGGGGTGCGCGGGTTCACCCATGCAGAGGTCTGGGCCAGCAAACACGCCCGGGCAGGTGAGGAGGCTGGTGCATCCTACCTCTCACAGGCCCCAGGGCAGTCCAGTCTGGCTCTGTTACAGCCTGGGGAGGGTGGGGGCCTGGCTGTCTGCAGCGGGCCGGAGGCAGCCGCTTTTGGCTGGTTGTGTCAGTGCAATTCCTGAAGGATCCATCCATCCCAGCCCCTAGCGCCGGTGTATCAAATGCTGCCTGATCGTCCCTTAGGTACGTTCCTGGAGCCAGCTGTGCTGGGCTGTTTGATTTGGCTCCGGCCCCCTTTTTCTTTTCTGCTTGATAACCTGTGCTCACTTCAACCTGCTCCAACGCCCGGCGAAGTCAGTGGGAGTCTTTCAATTAGGGCCTTGGGATCAGAGCCTGGGTGGCTGGAGGAGAAGAGGGCGGGGGAGGTTTGGGTTGCAACTTGCATGGTGCGTAAATCATTTGCAGTTTGGGAAGAGGAGTCGTTGCCAAACCCAGCTGAATCTCCCTCGCTCTGAGATGAGAGGTTAACGCTCCATTTGAAAATAACACAGGCTGATCAGCCTACCTAGAGCCAGCACCTGTCCTGTGTGATTTTTTTTTAAAAAAGTAGAAATTTACAAGATCTTGGAAGCTTACTTTAAAAACTGGGTTGTGTGGGTCTGTCAATATCAGCTCTTAAAGTTGTGATGCTCTCTAAAGAAAGTCCCAGCTTTGTCAAACATGTGAGACCCTTGCACTGAAACACTGGCAGTGATGAAAGGTAAGTAACAGACACCTCTTCTTCAAAAATAAAAAAATCCTTCCCTCCTCCCAGCTAAACTGCTTCCTAAATCCTTGCTAAAAGTACTGAAATACATAAGATGCTAGACCAGAGTTTGCACTACATTTCACTGTTTTGCTATATAGAACGAATAGATTTCAACTTTTCAGAGACCCACTGCAGAGTCACTTCAGAGACAGGAATAATATAAGATTAAATCTATTAAAAACTGCATACTCATGCCACACCAGATTCAGGCTGTAAACTAAACACCCTCATTTATTATAAAATCCTTTTAAATACACCACGTTATAGAGGAGCAAATTTATTAAATAATAACTCTCATGAACCAACCCTGTCAAATTAAAAGAAGAAGAAAAAGAAGTTATCAGCCCAGTTAAATTAATAACTCTGCTTAGCCTCTCCAGGCTGTTTTAGTGCTACATTTCTTGGAATCTCTCTTTATTAATACCAGATCTTCAATTAAACTTGTGAAATGATTCCATGCATTGTGCTCGCAAGTGAGAGAGGTGTCCACTCTGGTTCAGGTCTCCTTTGAATTGCTTGATCTATTGGGGTTTTAGATATGGCATAGTCTGCTCTATGTCTTGAATGAGGCTGACCACACTGCTTTTTAGATACTCTTCAGGTGTGAGAATTGAATACCTATTCCTCTCCTAACTAAATGCATTAATAGTAGGATGGATTCACCATTTGGCATGAGAGCAGAGGTCATCTTGAGGAAAATGATAAAGGTCTAAAAAAGTCATCCACTTTAAGAGATTCTGGGCCGGATGCCAAATATTAAATTTAAAGAAGCACTGTCCCTTTTCTCCAAAAATAACAGACAGAATCAGCCAGATTGTTAGGGAGGCAAAAGAGCCGTCTTGAAAAACCTTCATCAGCCACAATGCTCTGTTATGAACGTGTATGTGGGGATTTATATATATATATATATATATATATATATGCAATGCATGATTTGATTGAAAGATTTCTGAATAAACATGATCTAATGTAAAATTTCCCACTACATGGAAACATTGTTTTAAGTGGCATGTTTGAAAATATTTATATACTGTACGGCACTGTTCAGTTTGATGTTGAAAATGATCTGTACATTGTGGAATAATGTAGTTGGCACAAATTGTACAGTTGATTTTTTTTAAGCTGCAAAGTTGTTTTGCAAACAAAATGCCAAATAAACCCATAGTCTTGGCTTTTTAAATCTTAAATCAGATATGCAATTTTTTTTGCTATGATTATGTTATGATACAACAATACATTGAGGTAGCTGCAGCTATGCTTCCCGCAGATTACCTGTGTATATGCATGAATAGTGTGGATATATAGTCCAGTGGAGAAATTTAGATGTAAAAAAACATAACCAAATATCCATATTTAAGGAGCATAGATTGACTCACTGGTTTATCTCACTTATTGTACAAAGATTCACTGTAACTATGATGAATCTTTTAAAATTAGATTTTAAATATATTTTGACAGTCTGAACTTGT